AAATAAATGGCTTCTTCCCTTTAATTTAATCCCCTAAAATATTGGGAAAAGTGGGGTTCAAAATGAAGCTTTTTTCCCCTCAATTTAAACCCCTTTTTTCTTACTAACCCCCCTTTTTTCTGGGAGTACTGTGGAGGGCCTGGGGGCTCTGGGGAGGGACTGACACAATAAAAGGGGAAGTTTGAAAGCTCTCCTCTGCCTCAGTGCTGCCCGGCCTGCTCAGGTGCTGCCCCTTGGCAAGAGAGTTCTTCCCTTGGCATCTTCTCGAAGTGATGCTCTGTGCCCGGGTGGGTCCAGCTGCGCCCTGGTCCCTGCTGGATGCTCCAACCGTAGCTCCTGGAGGGAGGCTTGGGATACCCCCGTGAGCCCCTCTGGAGGAGCAGCTCCCTGTGCGGGTGTGCCCGGGTAGCCCTCTGAAAGCGGCTGCTCACACGGGGGGCTGCCAGACCTTGGAGTGGGGGCTGAGGGGAAGAAAGGTCCTGTGGGGAGTTCCCTCCCCTACACAGCCCTTTGTCTGCTCCTTAAACAATGGGGTGCCAGACTTTCCTTTCCAAGGAAATGAACTGTCTTTCTATGTGTGCCCGTGGCCAAAACTGGGATTCTGCCTCCAAAATTCCATACGTCTTAGCTTTGTAATTAGCGAGGAAATTCTCCACAGATCGTAAATGATTACTGGCACTTTTTCTTCTGTAGTTGTTACTGATTTGTGTTTGTGTCGAAGCTTTTGACAAATCCCTTGAGGTGTCAGCGGTTTGGCTTGGTTGTCTGTGGCTAATCCTGACCAAACCCGAGCGTCCGCCATCGCTGCTCCACCCTGAATTTCAGTGAAATATTGATATAGTTTATAAATACTCCCTTTTTCTGCTTCTCAGTCTTTGCCCAGGCATCTGCAGGGAACAGATTCACTCCATCCTTTGCTCTCGATGACCGCTCTCCGGCCCAAATGCCAGCTCTCACAGACACAATCTAAGCAGACAACTACTACAGATGTTTGTTTTTAAAGTAAAATTTTTATTACCTCTGGCTAAATGATGAAAAAAAATACATGCATTAATGGTCATCAGCGAAAGTTTTTCAGAGGAGAAAATATCAATTTTGGTAGGAAAGATCTCATTTTGACAATATTGCATTCTTTTATGTTTGGGAATCTTGCCAGTATAACACATAAAAAAATTGGTATTTTGAAATTGGGTCATTTTGATATTTTGAAACTTGATATTTTGCTATTTTGAAACTGTATTATTTTGGTATTTTGGAACCTGGTATTCTGGTATTTTCAAACTGGGTTACTGTGGTAATGTGAAATTGGGTTACATTGGTATTTCTGGAGTTGTTGTTCCAGTATTTTAAAAGTGGGTTACTTTGATATTTCTTACCTTGCTGTTCTGGTAATTTGAACCTGGGTTTTTCTGGTATTTTGGAACTTGGTGTTCCAGTATTTTAAAACTGAGATTTTGAAACCTGGCTTTCTGATACTTTGAAATTTGGGTTTCTAGTATTTTGAAACCGGGTTATTTTGATATTTTGGAACCTAGTGTTTCGTAGGCTTTTTTCTGTCTTTTGTAACATGAGCTTTTTAGTGTTTTTGTAACCCGGGGGTTTGGTGTTTTGTAATCTGTGCTTGGCAGGTACCTGGGGCATCCTAGTTGAGTCTCTTGGCTTCATTTGCTGTCTTCTGCTACAATTAACCTGGCACAGGAACTGTCAAATCGCAGACTATATGATGAGATGCTTCCTGAAACCGAAATAAATTCCAGCTGCAGCAAAGCCCACCGCCACACTTAGAAACGCTTCAGCAGAGCGATGCCTAGGCAACAAGACAGTGTGTGAGCCATGCAAAAGCTGCAGCTATGCAGAAAGAAGTAGTTACTTTGTAACAGGATACGAATGGAGCACTTTTTAAGAAATCAGCAAATTTAGCAGAACAAGCTTGTACGAGTGTGCCCCCTAATGACAGAGTGGCAAAACTAGCCTTTGTCCCCCAAAAAAGGAAAGAAGCCCAGAAGTTTCTCTCAACAATTAGGTGAAAAGCCACCTCATAGGATCTCGGGGACTTCACCAAAAACTTGAGGACATCTAATTGGATAGAAGCCAAAAAGTCCCACCTGACCCATCAGGCAGAAAAGGAGAGAACAAAAGAGCTAAAGTGCTCTTGTGAGGTGTTTTTACCAGGAGCAGACCTCTGCACCTGGCTCGAGTTTTTCTGTTTGTTATTTTACCTTTTATTAAAGCTTTTTTGTTTCTAACACTGCAGCAGAAGTCATCCTGCTTATTTTATGCCCCCAAAGTAATAGCTGAGCTATCCTTGGATGTATTATGTTTCTTTTGAGGGCTTATGAGAACTGGTCCAAGGAAAAGAAACTTAAAACAAGGTAACTGCAAAAAGCTAACAACTGGCTATCTGAGCAGACAATCCTATAGAACATGTGCAGAAAACAGAGGTGAAAAGTTTGAGCCCAAGGAAGACTTACGAGCCTTCACCCAAAATGACCACCAGATGTCTGACGACAACCTTGGACTGAAACCACACATGTGTTATAAGGGCTTATGTAATGATGTAATTAGAAAATGTTACAGTATGAAGGTTAAGAAAGTATAATGTGCATGTTAAATAAAACAAGTATAAAAGCTAGTACGGTGTGAGGAATGGGCAAGTGAGTCTGTGGTGGAGCTATCCCCCTCGCCCCTAGGGTCGAATAAACAAATACCTGCTCTATAGGCCTTACGCTATTGAGTGCTGTTTTCTTGCCTAGGTTTCAAGCATCGCTCTGGCGACCTTGCGGCGGGACGGGACTCTCTGCCTGGCTGCAAGATCTGTTGGAGCTGGGGACTCCCTTGGCGTGCCCTGAGAATTTCTGGAAGGGACTCCGCGCTTCACCGGCTTTCTGCAAGGGCAGACAAGAACCGACCACAGGAAACTCAGGTATTTGTTTACTGTTCTGATTTTTGTTTCAGGTCTCGGTTAAGTCGCTCCTGTAAGACATTCCACAGGTGACATTCCAGGTCAAGACACTGTAAGACATTCCAGGGTGCTGTATCACAGGTGAAATTCCTGAAGTTGATGCAAGGCCTTAGAGTCCCCAAAAGAAGTCTAATGCCCTTTGGTATTGGCCTTGGCATTTTGGGTTTTGATTGTGGTATTTGTTATTTTGTGTTGTAAGAATAGTAGTTGTTTCCCTTGTGTATTTTAGGACTCATTTTGTGTCCTATCATACCCCAATTCCTTGTGTATTGTGTGGAAGTGGTTTTGTAAACAAAAAATCCTTTTGTTTACGTTGCTTGTCAGTACTGTAGAAGAGAATAGTGGTGCCGGGCGATTCAGAGATGCCCAGTGTGTGTTAAGTGTAGTACATGGGGAATAAAGATAAAGAAAGGAGAAGAAGTACTAACACAGAATGTACAAGTGTGGAAATTTGGATAGCATTAAAAATGGGTAACACAGGAAGTAAAAATGTTATAAAAACCCACAAGGATGTATTTTAGCACATTGGAAAAATCTGGGAGGAATCCCAAGGGGCAATTTCAAGACAGGTAATCCAGTGGTGGCCTTTGTATAAAGCGGAAAGTGGTGAAAAGTAGCTCTCTAATGGAACTTTAAATTAAACCCAAGTAGCAGAAGGAATGTGGCATCAATTTGGCCCCACAAGACCCTTTGGTCCGAGCTGTGGAAAGAGTTATCAGGTGGAAAATAAAGAGATGTTGTTCAGCATGTAGTATAGAGCAGAGAGGTTTGAAGTAGGCAGAAAAGCATTAGGAAGACAGTGTTACAGATGTCTGAGACTTACTTACCAGGCCAGCTGTACGCTCTCCACCGGCTGCTCCTCCCCCTCAATTAAGCCCGAGTGGTAGTGAGGATGAGATGGATGATCCTGGTGAGCGGACAAGTTCAGGGACCCTGATGATAGCATGTACAAAGAGTAAAACCAAGAAAGCTTTGCCTTTGGTCACCCCCTTAAGGCAAGCAGTGGTTCCCACAGGAGAAGCTGTGCAGGAAGGTCCCCTTTTCCACTAGTGACCCGAATAGGTAGCCAGGAGAAGTTAGGAATTATAGAGGAGACCCAAGAAAAGTAGCAAAAAGGATGGCGTTAGTAGTCAGGAATCAAAACCCAGATTGGGGTGATATTGATTTAATGCTGACAGACCTAACAGAAACAGAAAAAGAGCTAGTGACAAACACGGCCAGAGCACATGTGCAGGGACAAACTGCTAGTGGAGCCTTACCAAGGTACAGTGGACCAGTTGTTTCCTATTGTAAAACCTTTGTCGGACCCGAATGATGCAGGCAGCTATGCGACGTTAACTACGTACTGGGAACTAGTCAAATTTGGATTAGAAAATGCCATTCCAAAAGCAGTTAATTGGTCAGTTAAACATGGACAGCATGAGTCACCCACTGACTTTGTGGACAGGCTCCAAGCAGCGATGTGTAAAGTTGCAACCCTAGATCCCCTGTCAGATATGGGAAAGCAACAGTTAGTTTCTCCTGATGTTAGAGCAATCTAGCCCAAATATTGGGCAGAAACTTCAGAAACCGAAGGAGCCTGTAAACACAGATTTAGAGGCATTAATGGGAGAAGCATGGAGGGTGTACAATAACAGGGATCAACAAAAGAGGAAAGAACTCACTACAGCCACACTGGCAGCTCTGGATCAGCACCAGTGTTGAGGGTGTGGGTGAGGCAGAGGCAGAAATACCGGAGGCAGAAGAGGTTCTAACCGGCCGCAGATTAAGCTGGCGCCAAATCAATGCTCATGCTGTAAGAAAGAAGGACACTGGAAACGCCAGTGCTTGTAGTTAGGAGACAAAGTACACGAAGCCACTCCAGATTACAATGAATGACGGGGACTGCCAGATCTTACCCTAGTGGACCCGCTGGTTAAAATACAGCCATGGAATGATAAAGGAGTTGAATTTTTAGTAGCTACTGGAGCCACGCTTTCAGTCTTAAATCAAGCATTGATACCTAAAAATTAAAAACACATTCAAGTAATAAGAGCTACTGACCAGCCAGAAAATGCATTCTTCCTGAAACCTCTTAAATATAAAATCGGGAAGAAGATGGGAATACACCAGTTTCTTTACCTAATTCACCCAAATCTCTGCTAGGCAGTGATTTGCTTGAAAATTTAAAAGCAAATTGAGCTTAGAGAAGGAAAAATTAAATTTAAGGTACCTGAAGACAAATTTATTTCAGCATTAGGACTGACAATTGACACAAGACTAACAAACAATAGTAACTATTTAGAGCAAATACCTAATCAGTATGGCATACTGATACCCAGTCAAGATCAAAATGGGCAGACCATTTTTAAACTGAACTACAGACAGGAGTTAGGTGAGTAGTCCGAAAGCAATACCCTGTAAGGTTGGAAAACAGAAAAGGAATAGAGCAAATAACCAATAAATTCCTGACATTAGGATTGTTGAAAGAATGCGAATCAGAATTTAATAATCCTGTATTACCAGTAAGGAAACCTATTGGCACTTATAGACTACTGCAAGATTTATGGGCACTTAATGGAGTTGCTAAAAGTATTCACCCAGTAGCTGCAAATCCCTATACCTTGCTAACTAAAGTTTGAGGTGGTTTTATTTGGTTTTCAGAGACAGATCTTAAAGATGCTTTCTGCAGCTGCTGCAGATTGCCCTGTCTGGTTGTGGAAGTATTGGCAGTCACTCTGGGGTTACGACTCGCTGCTTCCAGTTTACAGTGCCTGGTGGTGGAGCAATCGGTCATCGCTTCCGGGTTCTGACTCTCTGGTTTAGATTTACTCTCTCTGGTGGGGGAAGTGTTCCTATCCACCCTGTCCCTCACACCCTACTCTTCTGGGTCCTACGCTACCACACTACAGGCCGGTGGGAGCAAGATTCCTCCCTGAGAACCATCACACCGATATCCTCGAACATTTCAACTTCAGTGTGAAGATTGTAGGAACTTCCTGAATGCTATCCCCTAATACAGCAACAAGACAAAGTCCTCACCCACCCTGGATCTTCAAAAAGTAGAGTACAAGGTTTAAACAAGCCTCATGGCTTGAGGGGCATCATCTGCCCCAAAAGCCCAACTCTGCATCCAAATGAAATTAGTATCACAAACAGATCAATGAACACCAGATGCACAGACACTGTCAGCTTGGACCTGTAATTAACTTGGCAATGGAAAAATGTGAGCTCAGAGGTCCCATGAGACCTGTTTCCAGAAAGTGCCCACGTCATTATTTAAAGTTGTGGCTCAATTAAGGAGCAATACCAGTAAAACCCACAGACAAAAACCCTGGGTTTGGTTGTTGTTTTTTTTTTTTTTTCTTTTAAAAAATTCAACTATCCAAAGTATGGTTCAGTAATTCAGGTGAGTTCAGCCTGCCACTTTCTGTTGAAAAAGGATTAACTAAATCTACACTCTAAGATATAAAGAGCAGTTACATTTATTAAGGAGGTGGAACACATGGTATCATTTTCCTGCTGAACCTCAGCCACAGGAGAAGCTTCTCTCTACCCCAAGAGCTGCAAGGAATTTGGGTAGGTGAATGACATCCAAGAATCACTGTAAATTCAAAGGCAGAAAGAGAAGATCTACCACTAAAGGGAAAGGTTTTAGGAAACATCTTGGCAGTCTAATTAATAATTATTTCCAATTCTTCAGTGAGAACAGGAACCTGCAGCAATTAAGGCCACACAGTCCATAGCAGCGAGAGCTGAGCACACATCCAGAGAGGCAGTTCCAGCATCTAAAATAAAAAAAAAAACAAGAAAAAGTTGATTTATTTTAAAGTTACTTTAAGTTCATTTAAGAACAGGAGAAGAAGAGAAACCACACAGACTTCCAATGCAATGCTCTAAAACCAGCAAGAGATTTAGTCTTGTATATTGAATGTTTAAAATCCATGCATAATTACAGAACACTTATTTCCACAAAGAGAACCTAAGATTCATGTCCGAAAGCTTTAACCGCAAGTATCTTCAGAACAAAATGCTGCTGCTGCACATGCCCCTCAACTTTGTCCTATTTCCAACTCCATATCTCTGGCTAATTAGGAGGAAACCTTTTAGACAGTATTCTGAGATCCACTGTTGATGTTTTGTTCACAGATATTGGTAGTAAGATTCCCTCAATTGAGCCTGTCCCTTCATTTCCTTATGCTCCAGTGTTTTTTCAAGTATTCCAAAGAAAAATATAGGCAAAAGCATTAAAAATGGTAAAACTAAACTCATTCACTCCATAGCTTAACCACATTTCTTTGACTAATGTTTAGATTTTGCTAAGGTGTATTTAAAAGTATTTCAAGGTGGCTATGACTACAATTCTTGTAAATGTGGGCAAATCTAGACACCTAGCTCCAGTTCGCACACTAAGCTCACAGAATATCACGTGTCAGAATGCACCAGGCAGTTCAGTGACTCGCTACGTAGCTGGGCACATTCTGGTAGATAACCTGAGAGCTACGCACACTGGTGCAATCAAACAAGCGCAGTAATTAGGGTAAACAGATTTTAGATATTCATTATATAACATGTTTTCATGAGCTTCTAAAGCCATCCCCGACTACCCTGGTCAGATTGAAAAACAGCCACAGACATAAAAAGTAATGCTCAGTCTGTTTTAAAGTTTTAACTGCATCTTACCATTGAAACTCTTTCTCCCTGTCCTAGGGTGAGGTTATGATGCTTGTATCCATAATCGTGTGTTCTGTTGGTGCTGGATATTATGTACTGTGCCTTCAAGACTGGTTCTGAAGAGCAAGGTTTGTTTTGGTTTGTTATCAGCCTGCTCCCCCACGGCTGGTGGGACAGAGAGACGGGACAGTACATAGTGTGGGTTTTGCTTTTTGCTGCTTTGCTTTGCTCTTGCTCCTGCTTTGCTCCCGCTCTGCTTTTGCTGCTTGCTTCTGTTAGTTTAGATTTTTCCCTGGACTGTTTTTTCCCTTCCCTTTTTGAAGCCATTCAAACCTGCTCCGGACTGGGACATGGGAAACAGCGAGAGTTTACATCTTGTGGCTGCAGCAGCTATTCCCCAGCGCCGGAGGGAGAAACAACAGAGCGACCACTCCCAGGAAAGACTTTCTGATTTTGTCATCCTTTTCAGATCGGTGAAAGTGCTGTCATCTGGTATTGTTCATTTTGTGTGCTGGGGGTGTTTTGCCTGTTAAATAAACAGGTTCTTTCCACTTCTCTCCGAGGAATCCTTCCCAAACCGGTGGGGGAAAGGGGCTGTGTGGGTTTGTTTTCTGGGGGAGCCCCCTTTGGAGGTTTTCTCCCAGATTTACCCTAATCCAGGACACTCCCCATCTCTCCAGCTCCGATGTCTGCAGATCTCTTACTGATCAACAGTTGTACTGCTACAGGAGAAGCCCACTATCACAGTAGCTGGGATAAGAGAAGTCATGTCATATTACCCAGGTCAACCTAACAGAGGACATGAATAGCAGAACTTTCAACTATCAACATTTACTGGTAGCATTAATATCATTCATGTTTGGAGATATAAAAATGGGGTATGAAAAGCTCACAAAAGAAAAAGATAACGCTCTATGCTTCTTAAAAAAAAAAAAAAAAGATCACAAAGCATACTTTGATAATGCTTTTTGTATTTATGGAAGTGAAATATACACATAGAAAATACTTCTGTGTGACCACCATTTTTGTTATGACAGTGCCAAAAAATTATGACGAAGCCTGGAAAGTGCTAGAGATTATGTATAAGCATCAGCCTCAGCTATTTAGAGGAGAGAGTTTCATTCAAGACCATAAATGATTAGGGTCAGTCAAGGCTGATCTTTGATTACAGCAGAAAAGCTTAACTATTTTTAAAGTTCTTGTTCTTTAGCTACATCTCACATCTCATCCTGGAGTCTTTGTGCACTTTAAAACATGCAATCTCTTTTCTAGGTTTAACTAGTACTTATTAGGGCTACATTAAGATAATGCATACAGGTAAAAACATGGGATGTTTAGCTCAACAATCACACCACCAAGCCCTCTTCATAAATTTATTATCTACACTCAAAACTCTTTGGGACACTAAAGTCTACTGGGTCACAAACAGAAAACATTTGAAATAAACAACCACTTATACCAGAAAGTCACCAAACATGCTAGCCCTAGTTAACAGTGCAGTTTGCTTTAGAAGGGGTCAGTCCTAGTTAATAATTCGGTTTAGAATGGGTCAAAGACACACTTCAGGAGCCAGCCTTCAGCCGCTACACTCAGCTTTAGTCCAACCCGACAGCAGTGAGCACCTACTTGGGGACAGCCCTTCTAAGGGCACCTGCCACAGCTCAGATCACCTTCAGTCTGCCAGCTACCACTTCAGAGTCTACAAAGTTATTTTTCTTGGGGCTACCTGAGGTCTTGCTCAGATGCACAAAGTCCGGGCAAGTACGAGTGAAAGCCCTAAAGGAAAGAAAGGCCCATGACGACGTACCTCTTCGCTAGAAAGTCTCTGCCTACATCTCTTTTCTCCGTGTTGTCTCATCTCTCCAGTCAGGGCCCATGAGCTACTCAGTAAGAGCAGTTCGCAGTCACAGCAGAAATATCCGTAACAATTCATTTTACCGGCTTTACAGAAAGTCTCCAGCGGCATTTCTAGAAAACAAAAGGACACAATGCAACAGGTCACATAGCGTACCACACCAGATACTCCGGGCTCCGAGTATGCTCGAACTAATTTTTAGCTCCTTATTTCTAAGGGAAAAGAAAACCGAACAGTCATTTTTCCTCTAGTGCAATTAAAGCGCAAGCCAGCCACCTAGTCGAGGACTATCGCCACGTAAACGGTCGCTTACGGAAAGGGTCGGCAGAGAAAAAGCCTGGGCGGACAAGGTCACTGGCCTCTGCAGCGCTCCCCAGGTTAGACGGTATCCTACCTATTTCGGAGGCGCGTATGAAGAGCGACGCAGTCCCTGTCAAGGAAAACGAATAGTAGCCAGCAGCGAAGAAGCGCTGCTAGTCGGCCTGGGCTCCAGCAGCCTTTGGGAGCCCCACGGAGAGCCGCGGCCCGTCGCTCGGCCCACAGCGGAGCGGAGTTCCGCCGCCCGGAGGCGCGTGAGCCACGGCCGGCGCGGGCCGGCCGAGGGGAGGGGGGCGGAGGGGGAGAGGCGGGGGGAAAGGGAAGGGGGAGCGCGCCGCAGTATCACGGCGGCTGCGCGGCGCAGCCCCGGAACGCCTGAGCAGGAAATTCCATTTTTGGGCCACGGAAGTGCCATAAAAGGCGTGGAGGAAATTCCAAATATGGTCGGTGCTGTTCCGGACGGGAAGCAGCGGGGCCGGGGCTTCTGTTCAGCCGGGGCCGCCCCCGGCGCGCTCCCGGCGCTGGCGCGGCACCGCGATCGCTAGAGCATGGCGGGGAGGGTCTCCTCCGAGCCAAGCCGGGCGGCCGTTCCTGTCTCTAGTGGTCAGACCTGAAGTGGGCTTTAAATCACAAACAGCCGAGGTTTAGTTCCGAGCAAAAGGGGGTCTTCAGCGCGTAAGCGCAAAAGAGAGAGGCCTTGGCTTCCTTCCTCGCAGCTGCACTTCCTAGAGGGGGAGGGTTTTCCCCGCCAGTGACAACACCTGCTGTTTCCTAGGGAACAAACTTCTTGAGACCGACTCATCCTACTAATTGGACTAGAAGAAAACTTTTTAGGAAACAGAAATCCTGTCTTCAGGCCAACAGCAAAAGAAAGATCTTGCAGAAAATGTATGGGCAATACTTTCTAATAAAGCATTTTTCTTCCCTGAAATCTGTTCCGTTTTATGAGACAAAGGCCAGGGAAATAGTGGATGCAGAAGACCCATGCATTTATTTCCTTTATGTTACGCTAGCAAGGATGCACTGTCCTTCATTCCTGCATAGCCAAGACCTAGTGCGTGACTTGGACCACTTTTCACACACCGAAGAGAACCATTTTTTTTTTTTTTTTCCTCTTTAGATTTGGAAGTTACTCATTTCAAAATTCTCTGGAGAACCCGGGGCACCCTCAGGCTCATCAAGCATTGTTGGACAGCCTACTTGGTCAGTTTTTAGCACAATCAAAATTCCAGAAGGCTAGACCAGGAGACAGTAACTGTGGCTGCTTCAAAAGAGGTGGTGATGCACCTAACGCAAGGACATGAGTTCACCACCCATGCTTTCTGCAAACAACCGGACATAAGATTGATTTAGTCTCCTTTCTTTAAACAGGTTTGTTGTTTTTTGGGTTTTTTTCCAGGAGACAAGTAGTTATGTACTGGCTTTGAAGCAACTAAAGCGGCTGGGATTGCTGTGGTGCAGTCTTCCTAAGTAGTAATTTCAAGGAAAGTGTAAGTCTGCACAATTTGATGTTTTATTTATTTTTTTTTTTCTGAAGGGTATTGTACACCAAATATCCCAATGGCAGGAAAAAGCGCATTCAATGTGTTTAGAAGCCAAACAGTCACTTTCATTTAAACAAACACAATTACAAAGTAAAAAGAAACGCCAAAATAATGAACTGCATGTTCATAACATACAAAAATTGCTGCCTACTCAGTAGGTAACTACAACATTCCAACTCCTGAATATATATATATATATATATATAAAAATTTACATTTTTGTAACAAAAATAGACTTTGAGAGGTGGAGGGGGAGAGGGTGTGTGGGGTTTTTTTGTTGTTTGGGGTTTTTTTGTTTGGTTTGGTTTTTTTTCTGATTGTTTGGTTTTGGGTTTTTTTTTTGCTTACATTCCATCCCCTGGCCCTTTCTTTTGCTCCTCTCCCCACCCATTCCCTGCTTTTCCTTACATTCTTTGAGTAACATCTCTTCCACTTTAAGGCAAGATGCAAAGCATCCACTCACACAAATGCATGACGTCAGCAAGGCTTCACAAAAAGGCACCAAGACTTGTAACTTTTAAAACAAAACTTCTGCCACATGTGAGTGTCTCATCAGGTGATAATTACATAGCATCACTCCAACATGCTCAAATACAGTAAGTGTTGTTCCCAAAGAAGTTTGAAACACATTATAGCATAGTCACTGAAATAGAATTAACATTTACAAAATATGGCCCTGCAAACTCCAAATTATACAATATGAATATGCAAAGATTTTTTTCCACATCAATAGTACCTAAAGGAAAGCAAAACCATGGCACATGTACAATTTACATCATCTAGATACTTACTCAAAAGTCCTTTCTTCCTAATAAAAGACTATTGTTTACAGGGAAAATTATATTGAACTTATATCCACAGTCCATGCAAATTAAGTCATTCAACAGAGGTGGAAAACTTAAGCAGCAGTCGATTCAGGCAGCTGAAGTTTAAACTAAATAGCCTTGCAACGTATGGTGTTGTGGGAGTAATTGGAGACTCCGTGTCTGATAATACCAATGGAAAAGGGGAATTCACCTGTTCCAGAAGGTAGTTTCAGCAGATCTCAATTGTCCTTGGAGAAAAGGCTGAGTTCATGTCTGAAAGTGCTGAGGTTACCTGTGAGCTGAAATTATTGGTGACTCCTGGAGATGAGAAGGAAGTGGCCACTTGGGTCTGAAAAGTGGCAGTGCCAGAGGGGTAAGTGGTTGCTATGGAAGGGGATGGGAATGTGGTGTGTGCAGGGGAGGGATAGGAAGAAGGAGCAGGAGAAGAATACGCTGTGCGCACTGGGGAGGGATAAGTGGTGGCGATGGAGGAAGGGTAGGATGTAGTCACAGAGGATGAATAGGCAGGAATTGGGGAAGCAGTTGAGGCTGGAGCTGCCTTTTCCACTTTCTTGTCCTTCTGCCTAAGGTGGATTTTAGTGTGCCTCTTCCTCTCATCGCTTCTGGCAAACTTTCTGCCACAAATGTCACAAGCAAATGGCTTCTCTCCCGTGTGTGTGCGGATGTGCGTAGTCAAGTGGTCGCTCCTGCTGAAGTTCCGCATGCAAATGCGGCACTGGAAAGGTTTCTGTCCCGTGTGGATGCGTATGTGCCGCGTTAGCTCATCAGATCGTGAAAACCTTCGGTCACAGGACTCCACTGGGCAGGCATAGGGACGCTCGTGAGGAGGCGTCTTGCTGGGACGGTTTGGGTATTTCCTCATCCTACTGGGCTTGATCAGCTGCGACTGATAATTAGCATTGAGGGTCTTCAGCTCTTGGGAGCCAGTCTGCGTAGCAAATGCCTTAATAGTGGACAGTGGTGTGAGGGAAGGCTGCTGTGCTCTGGTCTCAAGAGCTGGGAAGGGCTTCTGATCAGCTGGAACAAGACTGAGCTCACCCTGTTGCTGAGGGAACAAGTAATCCGGGATCATTGGCACCTGAAAGTTGGTTTTAGCAGTCGGATAAGCTGGAGGTGGATACTGGATAGGGGCTCCAGAGGTGTTGGGGAAAGACTGGGTCTGGGATTCAGGAAAAATATCAGAGCTGGAATTGGGAAATGTTGGTGCAGCTGAATAAATTGGATTGTTCTCACTGGCTTGCACAGAACAGCTCAGTGGGGAGCTCTGCGAGGAGGAGGATGGTGATGATGAAGTAGGCGTAGATGTGGGAGGTGCATTAGCCATGCCCACCAGCCCACTGACGAGGCTGAAGAGGGGCTCTGGCCATAGGGGGTTGCTGCTGTTGGGGGCCGGCTCTAAGGAGAAGCGCCCCGTGTAGGTTATCGGTGGCAGTCTCGTCGTTTGATTGGGATAGCTGGTTTCTGGCAGGGTTTTCTCGTTGTTCAGGGAGATTTCGGGAAAGGTGTCTGCAAAGAGAGGAATAGCTATTAATTCCAGCAGCCACTGCAGCTGCTGCCCGTGCTTCGCGAGCCATCCCTCTCACAGCGCAGCCCCAGATTCTGGTTAATTACTAATTGAGCGTAACATATTGCAGCGTCGCTGGCAGGTCTCCAGCCGCAGCTAGTCCGGAGCCGCTGACGCACACAGGAGAATCCCCCCGCGCGGCCGCTGGGACAGAAGCGAGGCTGCAGCGCGGAATTCCCGCAGGCGTCGCTGCCCCCGCTGCCGATCGGGACTCCCCGCCCGCCTGGGCGAGGTCAGCGCGCTTACCTGCCGCGAGGTGCTCGAAGTGCTGCTCTCCGGGCTCCCCGGCGGTGCCGAAGCCCGCACTCTCGGGTGCCCCGGGCGGGGCAAGGAATTGCGGGCCCCCGCCGCTGAGCAGCATCATCTCCTCCAGCTTGGGATAGTGAGTCTCCATGGCAGGGGGCGAGTGCGGGAAGGCGCCAAAGGGGTCGGAGATCTGCAGCGGGGGCAGGAGCTGCATCTCTGCCTTGGCCGCGGCCATGAGGGCTCCGACTCTGACGGGTGATGGCGCTGCCGCCGCGGGGCTGCGGCGAGGCGGCCGTCGCCTGCTCTGCGCCCTGCGCCGCTGTCGCCCCGGCGCTGTCCGCTGAAAGCGCTCGGCTCCCGGCTCCCCGCCCGCCCGCCCGGGGCTCCCCCCGGCTCTGCCCGCTGGAAGCGCTCGGCTCCCCGCCCGCTCCGGCACCGCCTCTATATATCGGGTCTCACCGGCCGCAGCCCGCCCCAGCCCTGACGTACATGGCCATATATGGAAAGCAGGAAGCCCTTATATGGATGCGGGCCGGAGGACCCCTCCTGGCGTCAGAGCCTGGCACCGGGGAAAGCCGGGCCGGGGGGCCCCGCCCGCCCCGGGCTGAGGGCCCCACGCCCGGTGCAGGTCTGACCCCCGCTATGGGCAGCGCCGCCGCAGCGCTGCCGCAGCATCGACGGTCCCGCGAGACGGGGGCCCCGGCCCCCGCCGGCCCCGGCCAGCCCGCCGGAAGCCCCCACCGTACTTTCCATATTAGGAAACAACCTTATAAGTCTCGATTCCGGCGGAGGCTTCCCGTTCCTTATATGGCGATTCCGGTCCCGGGCTGGGAGGTTGGGGGGGGGGGGGGGCTCAG